TGTAGTGTAGACGTACCCATACTGTGTTGCCCTCAATAAGTTAAACATGGCTATCTGCCAACCATGGGGCAGCGTTTCTGCCTGGCTGCAAGGGGATGCTTACAGCAGCAAGAGACAGTTTTAGATGTAGGCACCTGCACATCTATGTTGGCACTTATTTTTTCTAATGTTGAGACATTTGTTATGCCCAGTTCTTCACTTGCTCTGTGTATTAGTTTCTAACTTATTCTCATTTGAAAAGCAAGGTAAGTTCCTGGAAATGTGTGAGAAATACCTGGGTCATTTCTTCTAATAACTTTCCAGCAAGCTTATACTTGTAAGTTATAATAATAGTAATGCTATACAAGTCCATCCTCTAAAGAATATCAGAGCAGCATGGAGTAGTACTGTAGTATTCCAAACACTTCTCTGTTTTGTAAATTTTTTCCCCACCTATGCTGTAGTGATCTAGGTTAACAATTTTTAGATTTTTGTAGTAGCTGTTGTTGGGAATGGGTTACAGACTCTGGCAAATCCTGTCATCTCATTATACATGTTAATCAAACTAATGGGAATATTACTGGGGGACTGGTTCTTCCCATGCTGACTGTCAGCCAGGCGGGGAAGAGTTTTAAAAAAGTAGCAGTGCTAAGAAGTCTTTCTCTGGGGTTATGTCTAGACTATATCCCTCTGTCGCCAAAGGGATGTAAATTAGACATACCAAATTGCTAATGAAGCAGGGATTTAAATATCCCACACTTCATTAGAATAAAAATGGCGGACACTTTTTGCCAGCGCAGCACTTTGCCGGCAACAAGCTGCAGTCTAGACCTTTTCCGATCGATCCCTTATGCCTCATGCAACAAGGTTTACAGGATCAGTTGGAAAAGGCTTTCCTTGTCGACCGATCCCCGTCTAGACTGCCACTTGTTGCCAGCAAAGTGCCGCATCAGCAAAAAGAGGCGGCCATTTTTATTCTAATGAAGCATGGGATATTTCAATCCCCGCTTCGTTAGCAATTTTGGTATGTCTAATTTACATCCCTCTGGCAACAGAGATGTTGTCTAGACATACCCTGGGTGACAGATGTTTTGAAGCACAGCCAGACATAATATTCAAGCAGCATAGCCCTCATTTACTTTATTCTGTCTGCCCATAAAATACAAGAACTGGGCAGGAAGAAACCAATATGAATGTATCCAAACTATGATTTTTAATTCCTCCAAATACAGAGAGAGAACCTCCTAGTTTTTGAAACCCCTTTTTTCTCTCTCTTGTAACAGGAAGGTTCCTACTTACTGTGTTCATGTCAAAAGCCCATTGTGATTTTATTACCTCTGCTTGACCTACCATACTGGGCATTATACTGACTATGACAATTCCAGACTTCAGACTCCACTAATAGGTAATGGAAATATCCATTTTATGATTTTGTTACTTTTCAGCCTTATCTTTGCTCATTTATTACTAGGCTATGGAGATGTTTCATTTGGGGTTTGATCGACAGTTCTTATACACACAACTCCCCGTGGCATCAGCTAGAGTTTTAACATCTTAATTTTTTTCTTTAGAATATAAGCTATTGGTTAGCAGTTATAAAGTAGCTTCTGTCTCATAAAAAGGTGGAGTTGATGTTTGCTTATTTTAAGTAAATTAATTATAAGATGGAAAAATCTGTTGCTAAGACTACAACTTAGATTGTTATGGAGCACTAGTTAAATTATTTGGAAACAGTTTCTGCTTTCAGATGCACTTACATGAATGGCTTTTGTTGCAGCCACTGGGAGTATGTTATATTCATTAGAGGAAAGAATTTGACCCTTGAAGTGTGCACTAGATAGGTGTTTTGAGAAGTTAGGTATTTTAATTGGGGCAGGTGAGGAAGACTTTGACTCAAGTAACTAGGGGTCCAGAACCAAATTCTGCCCCACCTAGGTATAGCTCCTGCTAATTTGTCCTTTAATATTAATTAATTCTGCACTTCTTCTCCATTAAAAACAACTGTTGATTTGTGATCAAATACCTGTTGAGATTGGGTTACATAAAGAATTCAGGATTGGGTTGAAAATTTTTCAGGCAACAGCCAGATGCCATTTTACTAGTACCACCAAACAAAATCATTGTATTATTAGCAATTAATCTTGTCTCCTTTAAATAAATAGCTGCTAAATGTTCTGAGTCCTTGCAAAACCATTTCTACTTGAAACAAGTAGCCTATCCAGAATCTTAAATCAGTGGGAACAAAAGTTATTTTTAAAATAGTTTAAATAATATCTTGTAACTAATATTTTTGCATATTCTGAAATTCTTTAATGGTTCAGTGATAGAGATGCAGCCATGTTAGTCTGTTCTAGCTGAAACAAAAGACAGAACTATGTACCACTTTAAAGACTAAGAAGATGGTTTATTAGGTGATGAGCTTTCGTGGGCCAAACCCACTTCCTCAGATCAATATGTGGAAGAAAATCGGCACAACCATATATACCAAAGTGATACAATCAAAAAATGAACGCATGTGAAATTGACAAATCAAATTTTAGAACTGTTATTTTAGACTGTCCTGGAATAGTAAGTCACAGAACACTAGAGAAAACAGACACATTGTCTGAATATATAAGTACCGAACTATTTCCTAGTTCCTGAAACACACAGTTCTAGTGTTTCCTGTTACATTTGTGTTCTGAAATATATAGTTGATGGCTGAATTTTTCAAAGCATTGCACAAATATTTATAAAAACAATTTAACAATTTACGCACCCCTGAGAACTGTCTGTCCAGGGATGTAAATTAGACAATGCCTTCTCATAACACCTTCGTTATCACTTTGAAAATGCAAACTTTTGCCTAAGGAATATTAAAACCCTTTAAAACAATTTTTGCTCTTAGTTACATTTATGTAGTCTTAATGAAGTAATTGAGACTAAACTGTTGCTGGTGTGAGCATGTGCAACTCCTTTGACTACAAATGGCTTTGCAGCAAAAGGTGCCTGTGGTGAATTTTGTTTGGTAAGGTTGTGTGGGTATAAATGAAGGATGAGTTTGGCCCTCTGAAACCATCCCAGTGAGATTGTTTGGGAGACCTTCACTCAAATTTGAGATGCCTCCCTGCTGCAAAAATGCAGGAGAAAATGTAATCCTTAATACTTAAACCAGTTACATTATGCAAAAGTGTGTACTGTCTTTGAATATTCATGAGATGCGATAGCACACTTTTCCATTAAAATTGTCAGTTGTAATATAAAATGAGCTTCTTAATTGCTACTTCTTCTTTGGCTCTTCTCAATACAAAAGCGTTGCCATGCACACCTCGACTACAAAGTACTCTTATTCTTAGAGCTGGCAATAGCAGAATTCAGTGTTACTCAGATTTAGCAAATGCAAAACTGACTTGATATAGCAAGAATTTTAGTGCCCCAGTCTTTTGTTCACCAACCAAGTTTCTGGCTTCTCTGATCAAGAATTGAAGCTATTTTTCTTTGAATTAATTGACTACAAGGAATTTGGAGGAAACATTAGAGTCAGAGCTAGCTTTTAAGTAAAAATATTTCCTATAATAAAAAGAAAAAATTAGTATATTCAGTAAGTTACTTTATCCTTTTATATAATAAAATGTACTTTTCTGTTTAAGAGAAAAACAGAAAACACATTAGAATAAAAAAACCCTTTAAAATGAATTTGCATGTTACCATTAAATGCCATAGCAACTAAAATAAACATTTGTTCTATTTAGGATTTTTTTTAAAGTTGTTGAATGTGTTTCTGAGATTTTTTCCAACACATCTAAAGAGTTCCTTCATTCCTGAGAATCCAGCTACTTTGTAGTGTGACACAACTATAACTGGATGGCATAAAAGGAGGTGTTTATATCTATTATGATTGGGTTGTTATGACCACATATTAAGGTTGCCCTACACTTCCTATTATAAGACCTAATTTTTGGTTGCTTATAACTGGATCAGACTGTAATTGTTTGGCTGAAATTCCAGTTCATTCAAGTTAATCCTTGGAGGAAAATGTCAAAAGGAAAGAGAAGATTGGGAGGAAGGATGTCTAATGGATGGAGGAAAGGGACAGGAAAAATGGGATCTGGTTTTTATCTTCTCCTCGGCACTAATTAACAGAGTGGCCCTAACAAAAGTCAAATATACCTAATTTTTTTTCTGAGGTTTCTAGTGATTTCAGGTAACTCACTTTTTGGTTGTTTGATGTAATTCATTTAGGACAAGACTTTCAAAGGCACTTACAGTTCCCAGTGATTTTTTTCTGGGGTTAGGGAGCAACTACATCTCTCAAAATCAATTGTTGGGTGTTTTACACTTCCAAAACCAGAGACCACTTTTTAAAATTTAGGCTATTATTTCTTTGTGCCTTAGTTTGCCATCTGAAAAACTGAGATAATATGGGTGATTTTGATGTTTAACATTTGCAAAGTGCTTTGAGATCTTTGGATGAAAGGAAAAATAAAAATTAAACTGTTAATGGGACAGATCTCAAAGTCCTAACTCATTTATTCAATCACACTCAGGTTTTCAGGATTTACCGTTATTTACTTAATGTATGGTAGGTGTACAGTTTATGATGATAACTTAAGTAAACACCTTTTTTTTAAAAAAGATGACTTGAAACAGGAAAAAATAGGGGTTTTCCATACTGCTTCTTCTTTACCTTGGAAATGTTGGGAATATAAAGTGTGGTTTTGCTAGAGACATTTGTGAGATGAGCGTTAGAAGCTTCAGATGAGCATTAGAAGCTAAATGAATGGGTTAGGGAAGGCTGACATTTTGACAAAGACAGCTCTTCTGCCAATTGCTTATTCAACAAAACCCACATGTTTTAAATAATTCTAAGTCAAAATAATTTTCCTTCTCAGTTTATCAGATTTCCTTTGCATGATAATATCTCTTATGTCATAATATTATTTCTTACATTGACCATAATGAGGCTTGCTCCAATTTAACTAAATTGGTAGGGAAAATAATTTAAGTATGGTACAGTCCCCTTGGACATTGAAACAGCTAAACCAGAGCAAGGGATCAGTGTGGTAAATGTCAAGAGTTTTCCATTGGAAAAAAGGGGATGACAAGAACTAAATTTCTGAAATTAAATGCAATGAAAATTGTAAGCACCTTAACTTATTTCAAGTCTTTTCCTGCCTTTTTTATAAATCATAGAAAAGCAAAATAAAATAAAAATAAACAAGGACATATACACATTGTTACTGCCTTTCTGTATCACCTAGCACAGTGGTCTCCAACCTTTTTACTCCCAAGATCACTTTTTAAATGACAGAACAAGCCAAGATCTACTGCCCTGCCCCTTCCTTGAAGCCCCGCCCTCTCTGTTCACCTCCTCTCCATCACTTGCTATCTCCAACCCTTACACTGCTGCTTCCCCCCCCCCCCAATTCTTCTGTAGGAAGAAGTTTTTCCAACCCTTGGCCTGTCTAGACTTGACCAAATGTCAGAAAAACCCCTTCTTTTGGAAGCCCCCTTATTCCTCATGGAAAGAGGAATATAGGGGTGACCGAAAGATCATGTTTGCTCTTCCACTAAAAGAAGTGGAAGAACAAATGCATCCCTGGATGCAGAAGAGTTTTTCTGGAAGAGTATCTCCAGAATCCTGAAAAACTCTTGCAGTCTAGCTGTACCCTCACTGGGTTGAGACAGGATGTGTAGGCTCTGGGGTGGGAATGAGGGATTTGTGTACAGCAAGGGGTGAGAGGTGCAAGCTCTGGGAGGAAATCTATTGTCCTTTTCATATTTGTTCATTTTTTTAATTGTATCCTTTGGTATATATGGTTGTGACTACTTTCTTCCACTATTTGATCTGAGGAAGTGGGTCTGGCCCACGAAAGCTCATCACCTAATAAACCATCTTGTTAGTCTTTAAAGTGCTACATTGTCCTGCATTTTGCTTCAGCTACCCCAGACTAACACGGCTACATTTCTATCACTATTCTGGATGCAGGAGGAAGTGGATAAGAGAATGCTGGCTTGGGGAGTAAGTTCCTAGGAAGTTCCCCAGTGTTGGGGTCAGATGTAGGGTTAGGGTACTAAGTAAGCCACAGACTTCTGAATGTGAGGGTTCAGGAATTTGGGTTGGGGTATGTGAGGGACTCAGGGCAGGGGGTTCCGGTGTATGATAGGCTGAGATGTAGGGTCTGGGGTAAAGGGGAGTGCAGGAGTTCTCCCAGGATTCTCCCCCCCACGCCCCTGAGGGAAGCCAGCGTGTTTCTCCAGCAGGGCAGCCAAACCTCTGCAGGCGCCTGCCCCAGGGCCAACCCCCCT